ATCAGCCTTAAGGCTGAGAGTCGTTATAAGCAGGACGCAGATCAGTTTTGCAGTGGTAGTTAGCACAGAAATCACAGTATAGATGGGTTGCTGGACCCGTTTTCCAGCAGAGAGTTGTGTGTGTATTCCCGGGTAGACTGTGGGGTCCCTGTGGGGTCCCGGTCCCCGACATGTAATTTCCAATTTTATAAGGGACACTGGGCCCGGTCTCAGCATGTGCTGGTCCCCACAAATAGACTGGAGCCGGGCTTTATCCAAAAAAAAAAAAAAAAAAAAAAAAAAAAAAAAAAAAAAAAACATCAGGGGGCCAAGTCCCACTAGAGGCCTTGAGTTTCCTCAACACCTGAGTCTGGACGTGTTCTTGGAGATGTGCAGAAATCGCATTGAGTTTTCTCAACCGCACTTTTCCAAAACCACGTCCAGATAATGGACCAGATTCAGGCGTTGAGGAAAATCAACGCTGCTAGTGGGCTGTGGCCCTGGGTTCGAGCTCGTGTTAGTATGCACGTGTGCAATTCATCCACGTGCCATAGGTGAACGGCATTTTCGAGTTTGTTTTTGCTTGTGCACCATAGAGGAAGCAGTCTCAGCAAATATGTGTGGAGGGGGCTGAGGGGAGGCATGGGGGATTGGTTCTCTTTATCCCTGTTGCTACCGGCCGTCCCCTGGCCGGTATCCTGCAGGCTCGAGGGGCCGTAAAAACACGGCTCTGGTATGCTACGGGTTTCCCCGTATGCCTATAAGTAGGAGTAGTGGTAGGTCGGTAGTGTGAGGAAAAATTGAGAGAAGAGTATAGTCTTTTTAAAAATAGAAGAAAAAAAAATATATGTGTGTTTTTGTGTTCGTGGGCATACCTCATCCATCATGCTGCCGTTAGCATCCGCAAGCGTGCTGTATAGAACAGATTGGTCATGAAGGCGACCACCTGGCTGCTTGTGGCGGCATTTCTCCCAAGAAGATGGCCTTGAGGTCCCATGGCAGGTGGTGCCTGTCAGCCTGTGTCAGCTAATGCCATGCTGCGTCTCACCAACTCCACAATTTGGCCACCATTAGACAATCCAAAATGCAATGGTGTTCCAACGAGGCCCATTTTTTAGGGGAGCTTATTCAGCAGAAGTAACAAAGAGAAGAGAGCTCCCCCTGTTCTTCCAGGTCCGTCGATGATGTAAGCCAATTCAGGATTGGCAATCATCGGTGAATAATCTGTTATTGCAGGGCTCTGAAGTTGGTGGCTCGAATGTGTAAGAAGGCATTCCATTTCAGTTTCGGGAGAGTCTCTGAACCATAGCCCTTCGAGTGGGTCCAAGATCCATGATAGTGATTTTCTTGCGATCTTGTGGCTATTTTTAACTGTGTACTGCCATATCTGGAGTTCCATTCTCCCCCCATGTC